CTGTGTATCTCAGGCCCGGTGCCATTCACAAGAAGAAGAAGAAGTGTATTATAGTTTTCGCAAAGTGTATTAAAGATAATAGTATCGGAGTAATTATAATTTTTTTAATAAATAATGGCGAATTTTACCGAAGATTTATTTGACGTCTTTGACGAGCATGGCGATGATATGGAAATACCGGACATTTCGAAGTAAGTGAGCGGTTCTTATATATATATATAATGTGTAACCTAATCTTTATAAAGAGCAACCTCATGGCTGTTTTTAATTTTTAATATTATTATTTTTGTAGGAAATTAAAACAATTTTCTTTTTGGTTGAAATGTCCATTTAAAAAAATAAAAAATAAATTAGCATAAGTTTTTATTCTTATTTGGCGCAATTTTTTTTATTCATGTTAACCAAATTTATAGGAAAATCGAACTGGATGCTGGAATAAAGCGACAACTTGACACGGACGATGATAAGTCACTTGTTAAAAAGTTACGGCATGATCCTATTCTGGATGACATCAAGTAAGGGCTCCATCCTATATGCCTTAAATTCAGTGTAGTTTATTAATAAATGGAATTATTAGTTTGAACTTTTTAATACAAAATAATCCGAGATAAAATATATTGACTATTAAGCATTTGACTATATAAAGTTAACATAGCAATTTAAAAAATCGATTATGTTTTTATTACAAAAGAGACTTCCAGAATTTGTAAAATTTTAATTGTAAAATTTTATTGCAAAAAGCAGATGAATTCAAGTTGATCAAAAAATCCATCTGTTTATTTATATAATAATTATTGTACAATTTTTAAAACAGCATATTATGTATTATAATAGCATTATACATATATTATATAATAGCTTTAGTAGTTAGTTTATATTTTTGATACCACACTGTACACATTATTTTATGAAATTGCAATAAGTATAATACAGAAATACATATTTTATAATTTTGTTTAATTATATTCAATTATTTAATAATATGATATAGAATTGCAAATGGAATTATAATATGCAATTACATTAAACATTATCTCTTCAGCCTAGAAGATGTGGTATGCCGAATAAAAGTACATAATATAGAAACTATGGAATCTTGTATGCACGAAATTGCTATTCCTCCTGAGCAAGAATATATACCTTTAGAACATAAACAGGGTAAACCAGCCAAAGAATATAAATTTATACTTGATCCGTTCCAAAAAGAAGCAATTTTATGCATTGAGAACAATCAGTCGGTTCTTGTTTCCGCTCATACTTCAGCTGGTAAAACTGTCGTAGCCGAGTACGTATCTTACATTTTACTTTCAAAAGATGTTATCTTGAGCAATCTTTCCCAATAGCTTTTCCATTTTATCATCTTGTGATTCATACAGGTATGCGATAGCATGTTCGCTTAAGGATAAGCAGAGGGTAATATATACAACCCCAATTAAGGCATTGAGTAATCAGAAGTACAGAGAATTTCATGAGGAATTTAAAGATGTTGGTCTGGTAACAGGTGATGTTACTATAAATCCAACAGCTAGCGTATTAATTATGACTACCGAAATTTTGCGTAATATGCTGTACAGAGGCTCAGAGGTTTGTTTTATTATTAAAACTATGAAAATACGAAGTGTCTCATTACAATCTAAATATATTTTATAAGAAGAAAAATATATATTTATATAACATCTATTTGTGTGTATATATGAATTGTATAGGTGATGCGCGAGGTTGGTTGGGTGATCTTCGACGAAATTCATTACATGCGCGATAAAGAGAGAGGCGTGGTATGGGAGGAGACGCTTATACTGTTGCCAGATAATGTACATTACGTATTTCTCTCTGCTACCATACCGAACGCACGACAATTTGCGGAGTGGGTGGCACACTTGCACAATCAGCCTTGTCATGTGGTTTCTACAGACTACAGACCTACCCCATTGCAACATTATATATTTCCAGTTGGCGGCGATGGTATTCATCTGGTCAGTGATAATTTATGAAATCGTGCCCGTTTAAGAGCTCGATAAAAAAAAAAGCAATATATATCTATCTACTACATCTATCTATTATAAAACAGGTTGTAGATGAGACCGGTCAATTTAAAGAGGAAAATTTTAACAGAGCCATGGCCTGTTTGCAGAATATAGGTGATGCGGCTAAAGGTGACACGAAAGGACGTAAAGGTGGCTTGCGCGCCACGAACAGTGGGCAAACGAATATCTTCAAAATGGTAAAAATGATCATGGAGAGAAATTTCGCCCCCGTGATAATCTTCAGTTTTTCAAAGAAAGACTGCGAGATTTATGCGATGCAAATGGCCAAATTAGATTTGAACACATTAGAAGAGAAGAAATTGGTAGATGAGGTTTTTAATAATGCGATAGATGTCCTTAACGACGAGGACAAAAAGTTACCGCAAGTTACGAACTTGCTGCCACTTTTGCGGCGTGGAATAGGTATTCATCACGGTGGGCTCTTGCCGATTTTAAAAGAGACAGTCGAGATATTATTCGGCGAAGGTTTGATCAAAGCGCTTTTCGCCACTGAAACATTTGCGATGGGCTTGAACATGCCTGCACGAACAGTTCTGTTTACGGCACCCCGTAAATTTGACGGTAAGGACTTTCGTTGGATTACATCGGGTGAATATATCCAAATGTCCGGCCGTGCGGGCAGGCGAGGTCTAGATGACAAAGGGATTGTTATATTAATGATAGACGAACAAGTTAGTCCAGTTGTCGGTAAAGCTATTGTTCAAGGAAAACCAGATCCAATCAATTCTGCCTTTCATTTGACTTATAATATGGTTCTTAATCTTCTCCGAGTGGAAGAGATTAATCCAGAATATATGCTGGAAAGAAGTTTCTTCCAGTTTCAAAATCAAGCTGGTATTCCGGTTTTGTATAATAGTAAGTCATCATTAGCTAACGTCATTCATTAATATTATATTAGCAGTTTAAAAGCTGTGAAAGTTAATTGTCAACACTGCCTTGATTCCATTTTTACAGAGATGAAGGAATTATACACTACCTATAATACAGTGAATGTCAAGAGATATGATGAGATTTCTTCTTATCATGATATACGCGAACAACTCGATCGGCTGAGCGGAGAGTTTCGATCATTTTTGACGCAACCAGATTATTTGGTTCCATTTTTAAAATCCGGAAGACTAGTAAAAGTATATATTTATTTATTATGTGCATTTCCGCCATCTCGCACGGAATCTTTAATTTGTTCATACATATTGCAGGTGAAAAACGAGTGTGAAACGTTCGATTGGGGCATTATAGTTAACTTTAAAAAGAAAAATCCAAAGAATCCAATAAAAGATAAGACTATTATTGTCATTGATATTTTACTTCACATCTCGAAAAATTCTAAAGAAGGCAGTCCAATACCGTGTCGCGAAGATGAAGAAGGCGAAATGGAAGTAGTTCCAGTTTTGCATAATTTAATTTCTCAAATCAGTTCACTCAGGCTATATTACCCGAAAGATCTCAGACCGCCTGATAATAGGAAGAGTGTACTGAAAACAATACGAGAAGTAAAAAGGAGATTCCCAGATGGTCTTCCATTACTCAATCCTATTACGGATATGCACATAGAGGACCAAGCTTTTAAAGATATTGTTAAAAAAATTGAAGCGCTAGAAAGAAGATTGTATGCACATCCTTTGCACAAGGTAAGTGATAAGGTATATATGTAGAAAAAAAGTGATAATTTGGAAGAGAATCTAAATATTGTACATTATGATTTCATTTTTCGACAGTTCTTATATACACCTATCAAGATAGTTTCCATAACATATATGTGTATATATTTGCAACATATTTTTACATAAAAAACTCTCAAAGCTTCAATATATGCATGCAATATGTAAGCTTCGCTTATTATGTGAGATATCTTAATTGTTCAAAATTTGTCACCGTGTATGTATTCTTTTTGTCTATAATCTAACTAAACTTGGTTTTGTAATATTTACAGGATCCTGATGTGAATATGTTATATGAACAATTTTTGCACAAGGAGGAATTGGCTGCACAGCTTAAGCAGGCCAAGGAAGAATTTAAGCAGGCTAAGTCTATACTTCAGATGGATGAACTTAAATGCAGGAAACGAGTTTTAAGAAGAATGGCATATTGCACGTCGGCGGACATTATAGAACTGAAAGGACGTGTAGCTTGCGAACTGAACGGTGCTGATGAGCTATTAATGACAGAAATGATCTTCAATGGTCTTTTTAATGCTTTAAGCGTGCCACAGATGGTGGCATTAATAAGTTGTTTTGTATGCGATGAAAAATCAAACGAAATGCCTAAAAGCACAGAGGAATTAAGCGGTCCACTCAGACAGATGCAAGATTTAGCTCGAAGAATAGCGAAGGTTTCAACAGAGGCCAACTTGGAATTAGACGAGGATGCATATGTTGACAGATTTAAACCATATTTAATGGATGTTATATACGCTTGGTGCAAAGGCGCAACGTTCTTACAAATTTGCAAAATGACAGATATATTTGAAGGTAACTTATTAGCATGTATATCTTGTGTTGAGATAGTGATAAATCCCAAACCTCTTTTTTTCTTTTCTCCCTGTATTGATGTAAATAAAACACATTTCAGGATCTATTATTAGGTGTATGCGTCGCTTAGAAGAAGTGCTTCGACAATTGTGTCAAGCTGCAAAGGGTATTGGGAATACAGATCTAGAAAATAAATTTAGTGAGGCGATCAAACTTATAAAACGTGATATTGTGTTTGCGGCGTCCTTATATTTATGATGCGAATAAAAACAAACTAGAGCCACAAAGTAACAATTTCTGTTTTCTTTTTCGTTACACACACGCGCACACATACATACACACACATACATATATAGTATATCCCTAGTATATCCCAATATAAATTCTAATGTATTTATCCGTTATTTACATAGGCTAATTGCGATGCGTATATAACAAAAAAGACACAATCTTTTTTAAAATTGATCAGAATTCAATTTATTCCTGGGAATTTAAAGTATATAATATATGTATGAATGGAAAAAACTCTTTTTTTTTATGAAATAACATTACATTTGTCATATATGACTCCATCGTACGGGAAAAGTTTAGCGTAAAAATGTATACATATCTGCAAGATAAACAGGAGTCTATAATTTGCTGTTTCTATCTCGAAATTGTTAAATAAATACATTTTTGTAGAATATTTGCGACACTTAATTTCTATATTTAAATTTAATTATAACTTATTTATCGTTCTTCTAAAATTACTGTTTCCTGTGGACAGAATTTTAGTTCCATCAAGGTGAGTTTTGAGTCCATCGATGTTAACTGGAACAAATACATAAATATGTTGATGTATTGACATGTTATAAATATTTTGAATAACGTTTTATAAAAATAGAATCTTTGCTGAGAGATTAGTTTTATTTCAATTTGCATACAAAGAATATAATCTAACACAAATTACAAATAAATATCTACATAATAAGAACTTAAATGCTTACATCATCTACTTACATCCCTTCGAGGCCAACTAGACAGGAGTTTATATTCTTCTGTAGGATAACCCTCCACAATAAGAAAATTAAAGAGAGTTTGTAACGGCGTGTCCGATTGAAATTTACGTTCCAGGAATTTCCCAGCTGGAAGTCGTACTCTTACTTTCATTACACCATCGCCGGCTCCCTGTTGCGGTTCAGGTGGTAAACTGGACTCTACAGCTTGTCTGTGAGCTTCTTTCCTCGCTTCTTCTGCTAGCCTTTCGTTTTCGGCTTGTTCTTTCTTTTTCTTCTCAAGTTCTTCTTGCATCTGTTTCGCTTCTTCTTTTGCTCTTAAAATATGTTGTAAATATTACATTTATTGTTCAATGTAAAATCTCTATGTTCTGTGCAAGTATTGTACATACAGGTATATATACACACATATTTTATTTACAGGATGTTTCAAAGTTAAATGATCAAATTTTGTCAGTATGTTCTATGAGTAATAAAGAAAAAAAGTTTCTTTAATTTTTCATTTCAAACTGCCGTCCTCTCTTTCTAATGCAAGATTGACATCGTTGGGAGATGGAATTTAACACGCTACGAATTTCTTATTTTTAGTTCAATGAATGCATCATTGATCCTGTCTATCAGTTCCAATCGCGAATCACAATTCTTATATAGTACACTATTATTTTCATATTTCCCCATAGATAAAGGTCTAACAGTGTAAGATCTGGTGATCTCGGGGAACCAAACAATTGGTCCTCCTTAGAAAAACATCGCTGATGTACTCTTACATTGTAATGTATGTTGTGTAAAAGCTATCATTCGCTATTCATGTTTATTTTTATTGTAATGTTTTAGTGAAAAGTTTCCAGACCTATGTTTATATCACATTTTTTTTCTTATTTCTACCTATAGAACATATAAGTTTTATTGTTTATCTTTAAAACATCATGTATAATGAATTTTGAATTTTTTTTTTATTACCTATCAGCTGCCAAACTTTCTTGATATGCCCTGTCTTGTTCTTGCTTAACTCTTTCTCTAGCCTGCCGTTCTTCTTCAACGCCAATATCAGCTCGTCTTTGTTCCTACATTTTAAACAAGAATAATAATTGTATAAAATTTGTATTTACATACTCATGGTTTGATAGAACAATGCAATATGCTTTATATATTTATAACAAATAACAATATTTCTCAATAGTATATAAAATAACCGCATTTCTTACTTGAAATATATCGACGGCTTGTACCAAGTTTGTTAGTAACTCATTAACTCCCACATTGCCGTGTACGATAGTAAATATCTCTGTATTAGATCTAGATCTCATAATAATCATTAAAACTGGCAAGGTATCAACATCTATGCTTGACACAGCCAATGAACCAACAGTACCAAGGGTTTGAGTTACGGAATATAGAAACCTGAGAGTTAAACAAGCGTTTAATGATTGTTTGATAAATTCAGCTATTTTTTAAATATATGACATTATTTATATAAATGGTACCTCTCTTTATTAGATTCATATGTGATATCCCAACCCCACACTATAAAATTTGCCGAGAGAAGTTGAAGCACAGTTTCAAAGCCTAACAATTGAGTACAAAAAACGTTCGCTAATACACTATTATCGTGATGCAAATACACAGCTAATAATTTTCTCTGCAACATAAAAAGTATACTTCGGTTTCAGATATTTGTAATAAAAATAATATTTTTGTAGCGCAAGATCTAAGACGAACCTCTTTTGCTGGTTTCAGACACGATTCCTTCAGGGCATCTTCGAATGTACCAGCAAAAAATTCCGGGTGTGCTAGACCATACCGTTTTTCGAATTGCTCCGCAAAATGTAATGTGCCCATCACCTCATCTACTACATTTTCTGGCACTTTTTATAAAAAAAAAAAGTCTCATTCATTGTTTTACCGATATTAGGCGCATATCGCACCACTTAAATAAAACATAGCAGTTTTATTATGTTTCAATATATACTCACTGAGATGCTCTACTTTAGTAGATTTAACATCATCTATGAAAATATCATCCTCGACAGTAAATGTTTCAGGAACATCTTCAAATTCTTCCACATCCTCTGGTTCATCTATGGAACTATCGCTGTCAATCAAATCTATAATCTTCTAAACACAGAGAGAAAGAGAGAAAGAGAGAGAGAGAGAGAGAGAGAGAGAGA